ACTTCAACTCCTGATTAATGAATATGTATCTGGTGGAAGCTTGTACAAATTACTCCATGAGGAAAGCTCTAAAAGCAGTCTCTCTTGGCAGCAAAGATTCAACATTATTCTTGATACCGCCAAGGGCTTAGCCTATCTGCATCAGCTGAGCATTATTCACTATAATATGAAGTCGACCAATGTCCTCATAGACGATGCTTCTGCCAATGCCAAAGTTGGAGATTTTGGCTTGGCTCGTTTATTACCTGTCTTGGATCGTTACATCTTGAGCAGCAAAATTCAGAGTGCACTTGGATACATGGCTCCTGAATTTGCATGCCAAACAGTAAAGATAACTGAGAAATGTGATGTCTATGGATTTGGTATCTTGACTCTTGAGGTGGTGACAGGGAAAAAACCCGTGGAGTACATGGAAGACGATGTGCTTGTATTATGTGACATGGTGCGGGGGGCATTGGAAGAAGGCAGGATAGAAGAGTGCATTGACCAACGGCTCCAAGGTCATTTCCCCGTCGAAGAGGCAATTCCAGTTGTGAAACTTGGTTTAATATGTGCATCTCAAGTTCCATCAAATCGACCAGATATGGAAGAAGTGATCAAAATTTTGGAGTTAATCCGATGTCCATCAGAAAGTCCAGAGGAGATAGAGTAATATTATAAGTTGTTTGTGGAAAACAAGATTATAGAGAATGAGTTTTGTGGTGAACAGGAATTCAGTTAGTTTCTTAGAAGACAGGAAATACATTTGGAGAAGGTCATTATGCTGTTGTTATTTTACTATATCCAAATATCTATCTCATTTGTTAAATCTTTTATATGTTATTTAAATAACTGGATTCCTCTTCACCAGCTCCAGTTTGGGGACCTTTGTTAGATTTTGATAGACTGGCATTGTCTTTATGTAATATTGAGACATCCAACTTCTGTCTCTGGACTGTCTTGTGCTTGTTTGATGTTGTTGTCCATACAAAGCTGAAAAATACATCCTTTGTATTTTTATAGCAGAAGCCTCTTTAAGCCCCACATGGATTTGTGATGAAATGAAAACATCAAAGTAGGCCACCATTCAGTGGCATTTCCTGAATTTTTGGTCTGGTGACCATCTTAAGACATTTGATTTCTTTTTACACAAATTAAGCATACTGCCCCGCGGCTTTTGTTTAATGGTAGAGACGTAGATCAAGGTAAGGGTAAAGGGGCGGCTCATTCTCTGAGGAGTTTTGAACTATGCTTTGTCCCCACTCACCTCCGGCGCCAAGTATTTATCCACTTTGTGCTTTTCAAGAGTTACTATTATTTTATATTTCGAAACTAGAAAATGTTGTCAAGTATTAATTTTGAATTACAAAATTCTCAACAAGCAACTTTTTTCGAGGGTAATAATTTATAGGTGGGGTGCATGGGTCTTATCCCTTTCTTGAATAATCAGAAAAGGTACCGAAAGAAAGCATTCACTACCACACTTGTTGTATAGTAAGAGAGATGGAGGTTGGTGAAATAATTAATGCTTCGATGTCAAGTCTTTACTACAATGAATTAAAGACTAGAGGGGGACCTAATGATTTACTGCAATATGGGTGGACCTTTTCTCAACCTTAACTCTACTTGTCCCATGTGCATGAAAATGGGTTGCTATCATGCCCAGTTTTAACAATAAAGAGCTTTATATATTTATGCAAAAGTGAAATTTAAACGCACCAATATATTTTGGCGTTAAATTTTTACCGGGCCGGGTTTAACGATGCTTCAATTTCAAATTGGTGGAGCTTCGCTATATGAATTATAGCTTTCTCTGTGGATCATTATGCTCTACTTAGGTTCATTCCACTTCATTTTAGGGGTCGTTTGGTCGATGGTGTAGCTATACAGGAACAATGTATAGCTTATTATGCAATAAATAATAATATAAGGATGGTTATGTTGAAAATAAATAGTACGGGAATTGTTATATGGAGAATAAATAATTGATGAAGTGATATAAAATAATATATAAATTCTCGTATAACTAATACACATTAGTTACACAATATTTGGTTGACGGTATTAAACTCCACATATATTATGCGGAGTTTATTATTTGAAACTGAATGTAGTACTTAGTTATGTGAAGATTAACTGTAATGCAGGATTTTATAATTCATTTTAAACGTTGTATAAAATTATATAGATTTTTATGGTATGATTGTTTTTGCTTATATTGGTAATAAAGCATGCCTTTAGAGGGCGTTTGGTTCTGTGATAAGTTATGCAGAAATTAATAGTACAAAGATTAATAATGAAGAATTGTAATACATAGATCAGTAATATAGAGAAAGTTTTATCATTGTTTGCAATCTTCTCTTTTATTTAGATTTGAGAGTGGCAAATATTAAGGGGTATGAATAAAATATTGAGACAAGCAAAATTGATGTTTCTTGCTCTACAAGTTCGACAAACAATGTTATTTCTGCAAGTTGAAATGATTATTAAAGCACTTGTTCCTGCCATACTTGGTTAGTTTAAGCATTATGCCTAATCAAGAAATAGTACTAATATATAGCCATCATTAAAGCATTCGTCTGCTCATAATTCATGTCCAACTTACTCTTGGATCGATTATGGTGTAAGTAATACATTTCTTGCATGCTTGAGAATTTTTTAAATAATGTCATCAGACCTACCATGATCAGGGGGACTCACTTACGACAACAGAGAGTCAGAGATGATTAAATTTCCTAGCGTTTCAATTTTTTCTGAAGTAACCACCATGTCTTTAAAAATAGATATGTGATTTCTTCGTCTCTATCTAAGCTTTGGTGGATAAAGCTATTTGTTACATGTGTTGGTGGGAGGCCGTGGCCGATGTACAACTGTACATACGTTCAATTGAATCCATAACTTTCCACGTGGAACATAAATTTATATATACAAACATCACTGAATTTGCAATACATAGTAGATATGACCCATAACTTTAAAAATATAATGGGTTTAGTGCTAAAAATCTTAGAGTTTAAACCCATAAAATTTAAATTCTGGATCCGCATTTAGTGGGAGGCCGCAAATATATTGTTAAATTAATCAAGGTACGGGAAAATTGACTCATACACACGATTATTATATATATATATATTACATGAGGAAAAAAAAAGGTATCTTGGACAGCGAACCAAGTGTATAGAACAAGAAGAATTTTCTTTCAATTCTTTCTCTTTTGGGTTTTCACTTTATCAGGACACAATGATGGACTCCATGTTAAACTTTCACTAATCTGCTAGTGCTCTCTTTGCTTTACTAAAGATTTTTCATGAGTGGGGATAAAGCTTCTACAACCTTCAATCTGTTTATTCACCTCATGGAATAAAGTGAAGACTTGGCCAACGTACCCTATACAAAAGTAAAAGGGTAGCGAGTGTTTTGACAACTTTTACAACCAAAGCCAAAAACTTAGAAGAGTGCCATATCCCTACCGGTAATTACCAAAAAATTCCAAATATATATAATACTTTTTGGGGTGTTCTATAACTTTTGACCCCCGCTTGTCCTGTGAGTAGACCTTCAAGGTCAAGTTGAAAGTATTGTCAATGCGACAAGTAAGGGATAACACTTGATAAATTTAAAGTTCCGCCCATGAAATAAGCGCGAGGACAAAAATTCAAGACCATTCACTTTACAAGTAATTTGTGTACTTTACCCCAATTACAAGTGTTATTCCACTTGCTATAAAGAAGATTGTAATGTAAGACTCCGATTTTTCAACTCAACTTACAATTAAGTGTCTGGAGACTCTGATCACTTGCGCACAACTCGATTTATTTACCGAGTATCTACTATTTCATACCGACATATGTAACGGGTATTTTGTCCACAAAAGTTTAGGCAAATGAATAAAAAAAAATTACCTAGTATTATTAAACTATAAGGGTCGTTTGGTTGGGAAACAAGTTATCCCATGATTAGTTATCCCACCCCCATGGAATAAAAAAAATTACAATTCTGGGATGACTAATTCCGGAATTAATAATACCACGACTTTATTCCAAACAAACGTGGATAAACTCATCTCAAATTTGAACCCGAAATTAATTATCTCTTATTCCTCGTACCAACGAGAGCCGTAATTNGGGGGTTATCAGACTCTCAGTAAAATGACTCATCTGTAATCCAAACTTTACAAGGTTGGTGTATGAATCTATGGCTAACTATATACATTTTCAGTAAAAGATTTTTTTACCAAGTCAGCCTGAAAAAAAAAAACATATACTCTAAATCTTTTTTCACTTAGACAAACAAACTCACCAGCATGAGTAGTAGAAAACAGATGGGAACTTTCACAATTCAGCTATCTAGGATTTGATATCACACCAATTAAAAAAAGGACTCACTTAAGAGAGTGTCAAAAACAATATGATAAGATAGTGGAACATTTTCAGCCTTTAGGTTCCAAGGCAAGTGCTCTTTTTGGTAGATTGATTGATAACCTCCTATTTCCTTTTCTCCCTTCATCCTCAGAATCTAAAGGTTGCAATCTATTCTAAATTTGTTCCTCAAATTATAAACAGCAGTTATAGTAAAAGAAAAAAATCTTCTTTACTACTAAATCCTAGGCTTTCAAGGATCAATCAAAGAGAAGCTAGTCCACAAGACTAATATCAGTGTAAACTTCCAAAAGGACGAACGCAACAACCAGTTGAACCACATTAAGGTTTAAATCCATTTGAACATGGTAGGAGCAGAATCACATTATTCACATTTCAATCTCAAGAAGAAATTGGGCAAGTAGGTATAATTTGCTATATTGCACTTCAATTAAAGAATCATTCCAAATCGTGTACAAAACGGTATCTAGAACCAAAACCTTCTGTCAAAAGAATGTTTTAAGAGAAAGAATATCCAAATTGGTAAAAACAAAAAAACTGAGATTTAAATTACAAAAAGGTCTTTACACGTTGTTTAGCTCTTCCGTGGTGTATGTACCTCCTGTAACAAAAAAAAAATTCTTTCTCTTGGATATTCTATTACTAATCATCCCAGTCATTTTCCCACCCATCTTTTTTAGAAGACCTAGACGTGAGGCCATTAGCAGAGATAGTCCCATAAGTATGTCCACCTGGTGACTTCACTGCATTCTCCTCATCCCAATCGTCATCCCAATCCTGATCCCAACCATCTGCTGTAACAACATTTGTAGCTGAGGCAGATTCTGGTACTCCCATCTCTAATTCCTGATATGGAACTCCATCTTGATGTCTCTTCTTCCTTAGCTTGCAGCAAGCCCATGTCCCACCAAAAAGTAGGGTTACAAGAAAAAGGAAGTATGCACCATAGACAGGGGTCACGCGCTTAGAATAAAGAGACACCTGCTGCAGAATGTTATCCATAGAGACACGGCGGTCCAATTGAAGCCTGCAACTACCATCTCCAGCATTCAGCACTATTTCAGAACCTTTGCCCATGATTGATGAGATATCGATCTATCATAGCAGATTTATAATATTAGAAGGGACATCCAGCATAGCATAACATATGGAATAAGCAGGTTTGTACTCGCACAAAATTGCTTAATTAAGAACACAGTACACATAGGACGTCAGCAATCATGGCTGGAGCAAAAGTAACAATTTGGAAGTGTTTGGTAGAAATTACAAGTACAAAAGGTGAATAGCGAATTTGTGTGAGATCATTTTTAGACAAAGTGGAAACTTCTGAGATTTTATAACTAGTGTCTGTAAATTCAAGTTATATAATCTCCTTATTTTATTTTAGTTACCACCATAGTTTTTTTTTTATGTTGGGATAATCGAGAAATCCTCGACAGAGAGTGATTCGAAACGCGGTGGATAATGGGCCTGTCCCTTTATCCTTCTCCACTTAAATACCAAGCTTTTTTCTGTCGCGGACTTCCAAACGTGGCGTGTGCCTCATCAGTAATCACGCACTGCCCTCTTACCACTGGACCGGAACACCAGAAGTTCTTATACAACATTAAATTAATTCATAATCAAGTGCGTAGCACAGGCTCTCTTTATGGCTAGACTGCGGAAAACCTCATACAACTTGGGGGATATCACGGAGGAAACTTTTACTTCAGAAGCTTGCTCAAATGCAGATGCACTTTATTGTATAGGACGTTATAAACTACTCCCTCCGTTTCAATTTATGTGAACCCATTTGGCTGGGCACGGGGTTTAATAAAAGAGAGAAGACTTTTGAACTTGTGGTGTAAAATGAGGCATATTTCTTGTGACTATAAAATCATTGCATACAGGTAAATTGTTTCCAAATATGGAAAGGGGTCATTCTTTTTGGTACGGAATAAAAAGGAAATAGGTTCACATAAATTGAAACGGAGGGAGTAGATCATAATCGTTGTTACCATTCTCAAAAAAAAAAAAAAAAAAAAAAAAAAAAAAAAAAGATCATAATCTGTCTTATTTTATGCACAAAATCTGTTTATATGGAAGACAATACCTTTACCGGCCTTGTGGCTAAGATCAAGTTTATATGACAGACAACTGGCAGTTTCTGCGAATGAGCCAGCATATTTCAGGTCAAAGAAATAAGATTATTCGTTTTCAGTGGAAAGAATTATCATTTCGGGTTCAACCATTTCCTTCCTGATTAAAAAAAAATTATTACTTCAGGTTTACCTATTTCAAGTTGGCTTCTGAATCCTACGACAATAAAGATGTGCACTTCAAGATCACAGCATTTCTTTCCTTTATTTTGTTTAAAAGAAAGTTTGCAAATATTTCTTCAATGTACCAATTTATGACAAAGCTGAGTAAACAAAAAACCCTTCAGCCACCGGTCTGTCACCTGAACAATGCGATGCCACTCAACCTGAAGTCTGATGCCCGTAAGACATTAAGAATAATGCCTAAAACTCCTTATCAAAAATGACTTGTTCCTAAAACTGTATTATCTTTATTCTCCTATTTATCCAAGTTTTGTCAAACTCAAACCTCCCTATTTCCAGTTACACCACATACACAAGAATTTTCTTGAGTATCATAGTCATTTTTCTCAGATATCAAAATCCCTTTGACACCTAGAAGACAAGAAACCCTAATCTATACTATCCTAAGCTAGTTATCATCCTCTAATAATCCACTTTTCATTTTGCTCTGTGGGCCTCATCCCATTCATACAGGCCTCGTAGCCCAACTTTACAGTCCTGGAGTTCTGTAAAGTAACTCTTAAAATCTGTTACATGAGAGAAGTAACTCTTAAAATCTCATTCCTACACTTGAACTACAACTGTTCGTCCAACACACCAACAACAACAACTCCCCCCACCCCCCACCCCCCTCGGTTTTGTAATATCACCATGATCATGATGGGCTGCGAAAGGAATAGGTATTTGTGCAGTACGTAATGTAAATCCTAAGAAAAGACTGATCCTTCCAGTGCTGTTCAGCTATGGTAAGGGACCTCGCCAAAATGATCTAACTAGAATATTATGAAAACAGAGAGCAAAGAATAATTGTGCATTCTACCTAACATTCCTTGTATTCCACTGGTAAAGCTGGGATAAAGAGCGCAAAATATTAACTGTAAGTAAAAACTCAGACAAGAATTCCCACATGATTCATTTGAGCTGCTTAAAAAGAATTGAATAAGAAACAATTGGGGCTAAAACAATTCAACATGATCTGAAGCTTTTCTGCCTCACATAAGTTAACCATAGCACATTCATTCACGGGACAACCAAAAATTTGGCCGCAATTTCACCCAGATATAATGCTACGAGGTAAACAAGTATCTCGCACAGATTATTCCCTGACGGTTGTTTTTTGCCATCACTTCCCAAGTAGTTAAGAAACACTAATCAGTTTGTTCATGTCGCAGGAANAACTGTCCAGAGGAGGTTGGATATTGATATTTACTTTCACTCTTTTTTCCCCTTCATTTTGCACAACAAGGAACAATCCAGCAGATCCTGTGAAATCATAGAAAGTAAAGCTATCAGACATCAAAGATATTTTACACTTACTATGACAAGACTAATATAAAGCTTACTTGCTAGGTCAGTGGGGGGAGACCTGAAAGGATGATTACACAAGAAGAGACAAAAGGAGAGTCTCTGCCTCTATGTTGGCAAGGTAGCAACAAAAACAAGAGACACCAATTACATAGTCTAATGCAAAAAGGAATGAAAAACTACAAGTTCTTGATGATATATTACTTGTTCCTTTCTCTCTGCTCACCCATGCATTTATGTCTTCAGGCTCACTTTTCCAGTATAAAAGCAATTAGAGGAAAGAAAATTTTATGATGAACGAGGGGCCAAAATCTGTGTAAAACCTTGTTCTTTATTGCCTATAACCAAGTTACAGAAGGTAGGAGACAAAGAAGAGCACATTCTTGGAGAAATGAACAACTCAAACAAACATGTCCCACAATAATCATCAAACGTTCAGATAGGGACCATAATAATTGACGTTTGATCATATTCAACAACTTATTTCAGGATAATTTGTGCGGTGGTGGCTGGTGGTGGTCAAGAATGGAGAAGATGGTGATGGTGCTAGGTGATGGTGGTTGTGCGGTAAGCTGGTGGCAGTGGTTGTGCTATAGTAATGAACAAAGTGGTAGTAAAAGGTCACCTTTGCAGGAATATTAAGTGAACATCTTTGATGATTTTCTATGTACAAGATCTTAATGAACTAGATATATCCGGAACAAATACGTGGTTAACAGAAAATCCCCATTAAGAGGAAACAAACAGGACATTAGGTGAGTGGTTATGGATATTTTGACCGAGGGTGATAGCTCGAGTCTTCGACATCATTACCTAGATGTTTTGCACCTTTATATACAACTTAGTTTAGATGATGTAAGTTCCATTATAAACAAGTGGCAACAATAACCACCATCATAAATACCATAAAGATTATAGCAGTAAGAATGAAGTGCTCATACTAAGCCTTTGAAAGGATCTAAGTTGCTCGGACTCGGTGCGGATCTAGAGGTCAAATCCTTCATTATCTAAATTTTAAGATTCGGGGGTACGGATCCAGGTTTGTATATAGGTGCGGGGATTCTGCTAAAAATAATATAAACATCTAAAAATAGAGTTATGAAAATATGTCTACATTATGAGACATTATGTGGAAAACTTACAATGTATTCCGAGAAGGAGAAAATATTGATCAAGAGGAGAATACGGGAAGGAGACAAAAGGAACTGACAGGGAAATTTCTATATACAAGGTATTCCATTTTCTTCAATTTCACCCTAGCTTTTGTTTTGATTTCAGCAGTCATTGTATTTGTTCCGAATATCTCCGTCGATTTTGGTCAAAGTACCCAAAATTGGTTGACCAATTCCGGTATGGATCCCACACCCACATGCAGCACCAAAAATGATGAGTCTGAGCAACTTAGGAAAGGATAACAAAAAGTTTTTCCAGACCACACCAATGCACCAATGCAGAACAAAGTAATGCTATATGGGAAGTGTTTCAAACTAATCCTTTTCTCCTACCCTACTCCTATTAAATACAAGATTTACATCCATTCGTGTATTCACATCTCAAGCAACAGTCCAATCACAAGTGCTTCTCTACCAAAATAATCCTTTTTTTAGATGTCAAGTGACCAATATAGAAGCATATATGCTGGTATACTTAAGAAGTATTGCTGAGAACCAAGAACTCTCTCGAAGATCTGGACAACTATTATTAGACAACTAGCTTTTAGATAATTTTAACACTTGGACATGCCCGATTATTTGAAAAGAACTTGGAGACCTACGATTATTCATGACGACATCTAAACAGAGATATGAAGAACAAGTGATCCATATTCGGACTGCCCACCTGTTTGCTTCTCCTTGTTCCCATTTTTCTCTTGGATCATTTTCTCTTACTTACGCCCCCCAAAAACCACCAACCTTTTGGGTTAGGATGAGGGAGCATGGTCGTACTCAGGCAGCAAGAATTCAAAATTTAAGGTATTAGAACAATATCTTAAGATCTCATATTCTCATGAACCATAATGGTCAGATTTAAGTTATTCCAATAAATAATCCTGGATAAAATGCTACAATCAATTGCCTAATATTAACATTTTCTTTGATAAAGAATTGACTAATACTAACATTTCATGTAATTTTGTTTTTTCTCGGAAAAGAGTCTTTCACAAAGAAATCAAAAATTCACAAACATATAGGAGGAATCTTTTTTTATGGGAATAAACTACAGCAAGTACCACCCAACTCCAATGGACAATGTTAGTTGCAAGCTTCAAATACTGCCCTACTGCAATATTAGATAGTGGTGATCCATACCATGTCACTCTAGCTCTTCTTATATCTCTATTAGCAAAATTGTCAGGCTCTAAAGTCCAAATTCTTCAGGTTACAACATATTAAAGATAGTAATCAGTTGTCAATCCATTACATCTTGGTAGGTTTGCCAGTACCACAACAGTTCAATCAAATTTCCAATTCAGTGAAACATGTGATCTGATAAGCGAAAAGGTTTACCATTCTGGGGAGTTTGAATGCAGGCAATCAGTGTTTGTTCAACCCTGCACATTTTAGTATCCCCCTGACAGCTTTCGTTAGTGTTCATTTCCGAGTTTATTTTATCATCTAAGTTCTTCTTTTCTTCAGTCTCCTTCTCAGCAGGTGGAGGGCTTTCAGCAGCCGTGTTGTTATCACTTTTAGGGCGATCATGATCCAATTTATGTGAGTCAGTGCTTCCCTGAGGCTGAGGATCCTTAGGCTTCTCTTTTTCACCTTTAGAGCTCCCACCATCCACTACAGTGGAATTTGGTTCCTTTGGGTCGGGTTTTGATGGATCATTGCTTCCTTGAGCATCTTTAGGCTGTTCGCTTTCAGCTATCAGACTCCCATCATTGACCGTAGTTGAATTCTGGTCCACTGAATCTTTAGGTGCATCGTTTCTTACCTGAGGATCTTTAGGCTTTTGTTTTTCTGTTACTGAGCTCCCATCATTGACTTTAGTTGAATTCAGTTCCTCCAGCGGAGGTTTTGGTGGATCATTACTTCCTTCAGGATTTGCAGGCTTCTCTTTTCCAATTTCAGGTTTCTTATGACTAACTTTGCTGGAATTAACTTCCTCTTCACCCTTAACTGGAGTATTTGAAGCTGAAATCTAGATAAAAATCATTCTTAGCTAATAATGCCATTAAAAAAAAACTATAATATGTATAGATGTATCTATATCATCTATTCACTAATATATACAGGGAAGGATGAATGGTAATAGATACAGCTTCATTTGAACCAAGTAGTGTTAGCTCAGATTCTTATACGTGTTAAAAATTCACTAAATTAGAAATAACACTTTTTGAACACAATTAATAAAATGGCCAATGATAGATTTTCGAACTCGAACCCATAAAGTTCAATTCTTGGATCCGCCTCTGAGCATATATATATCCAAAAAGTTCATTTCTTAGCTAATATTTCCATCAAAACAAACGAATTATAGCACATGTAGATGTATCTACATCACCAATTCACTAAGCATACATCTAAATAATTCATTGTTAGCTAATAGTTCTATCTAAAAAACAGATTTACAGCAAATATATATGTATCTATATCACAAATTCACAAAGACATACATTAAAATGCAAAGAGAGGAAATTTACCTGTTCAGAAGATGAATTGTTGCTTTGTGTAGGAGCCAAATCAACTAACTTCCTGGAATTGAATAATGTTGCGTTTGAAGTTGCTGAAACGATTAATAATGGGAAAATTACCGCTAATACTCTACTTCTGCCCATTCCACAGCTATAATTCGACCTTCCGTCGGATCAAATCTTATAAAGCTGTCATTTTTCACCAAAAATTGATAAGAATTTGATAATCACGCAGTGGAATACGATCGAAGTGCTAGCGAAATCGATCGCGCGTTGAGATTCTATCTAGGGTTTGTAGGATGAGGAATATGAAATTCTAGAAAGTTCCGAGGGCCTTTTCGTCGTTTTGACTTGTGCGTGTGGCAGCAAATATCCCACTATCGCAGAGATTCAAATAATTTAGAATTTATCATGGAGTCGAATTGAAATTTTGTATATTTTAGGGGTCATTTTGTTCATTATATTTTATATTGTGTTTACCTATGGTTAATAGGGAGCACTTGTGAGGAGGAGAAAGAGCGACAATGAGAGGTATAAGGTAGCTAGGAAGGAGGCGAAGATGGAGCAGCTTTTGCTCGTCTGTATGAGGAACTAGGGAACAAAGGTGGGGAGAAGAAGTTATTCCGAATCGCTAAGGTGAGAGAGAGGACGGCTCGGGATCTGGACCAAGTGAGGTGCATAAAAGATGATGACGACAAAGTTTTGATGGGAGATGACCAGATTAAGAGGAGATGGCAGACCTAATTTCATAAACTTCTAAATGAAGAAGGGGATCAAGATATTGTACTAGGTGAACGGAGGAATGCCGACAATCCCCATGAATTAAGTTATTGTAGGGACATTGAGGTCGATGAGGTCATGGAGGCAATGCGTAAGATGAGAAGGGGCGGAGCTACCGGGCCAGACGAAATTCCGGTTGAACTTTGGAGGTGTGTGGGTAGAGCAGGCTTGGAATGACTTACTTGGTTGTTTAATGTTATATTCAAGACTAATAGGATGCCTGAAGATTGGAGGTGGAGTACAATGGTTCCGTTGTATAAAAATAAAGGCGATACCCAGAGCTATAACAACTATAAGGGTATCAAATTACTGAGTCATACCATGAAAGTCTGGGAGAGAATGGTAGAAATGAGAGTGCAAAAGACGGTTTCTATTTCAGACAACCAGTTCGGGTTCATGCCGGGGCGATCTACCACAGAACCTATCCACCTTATTAGGAGGATGGTGGAACAATACAGGGATAAGAAGAAGGATCTCCACATGGTGTTTATTAATCTAGAGAAAGCGCACGACAGGATGCCTAGGGAGGTCTTATGGAGCTGCTTAGAGGTTAAAGGGGTCCCGGCGGCCTACATTAGGGTGATTAAAGACATGTATGATGGAGCTAAGACTCGGGTTAGGACAGTAGGAGGCGACTCCGAGCATTTTCCGGTTGTTACAGGGTTACACCAAGGGTCTGCGTTCAACCCTTTCTTATTTGCCCTGGTGATGGATGCACTAACTCATCATATTCAAGGAGATGTGCCATGGTGCATGTTATTTGCTGATGACATAGTTCTAATCGATGAGACACGAGGCGGCGTCAACGAGAGGCTAGAGGTTTGGAGACATGCCCTTGAGTCTAAAGGTTTCAGGTTTAGCAGGACGAAAACGGAATACCTCGAGTGCAAATTCGGGGCCGAGCCGACGGGAAGCGGGAGTGGAAGTGAGGCTTGACTCTCAAGTCATTCCTAAGAGGAGTAGTTTCAAGTACCTTGGGTCAGTTATTCAGGGGATTGGGGAGATCGACGAAGATGCCACACACCGTATAGGGGTGGGGTGGATGAATTGGAGGTTAGCGTCGGGAGTCTTGTGTGACAAGAAAGTGCCAATGTTACTAAAAGGTAAATTTTATAGAGCAGTGGTTAGGCTTGCCATGTTGTATGGGACCAAGTGTTGGCCGGTTAAGAACTCACACATCCAGAAGATGAAAGTAGCAGAGATGAGGATGTTGAGGTGGATGTGCGGGCATACAAGGACGGATAAGATTAGGAATGAAGGTATTCGAGAGAAGGTGGGCGTGGCCCCCATGGAGGACAAGATGCGGGAAGCAAGACTCAGATGTTCGGGCACATTCAGAGGAGGAGCACTGAGGCACCGGTGAGGAGGTGTGAACGACTGGCTGTGGTGGGCATAAGGAGAGGTAGAGGGATACCTAAGAAGTATTGGGGAGAGGTAATCAGGCAGGACATGGCGCGACTTAGGATTACTGAGGACATGGCCCTTGACAGGGAATTATGGAGGTCGAGCATTAAGGTTGTAGGCTATGGGGAAGTTGTGAGTATTTCTACAGCGCTCTAAAGTGAGACTAGCCAGTTAGGAGTTAGTCTTAGGATGCTATTGGTCAGCTACTGATGCAGGGCTTTATCTGCTGGATATTATTATATCTTCCATCTTTTTCGTACTCCTTAAATTTTTTATATTACTGTTATTTTATTTTATGTTATGTTATTTTATTATGAGTCTATTGATAGTACTAATATATCGTCTCTTGTCGCTTTCTTGAGCCGAGGGTCTCCTGGAAACAGCCTCTCTGCCCTTCGGGGTAGGGGTAAGGTCTGCGTACATATTACCCTCCTCAGACCTCACTAATGAGATTATACTGGGATGTTGTTGTTGTTGTTGTTGTTGTTGTTGTTGTTGTTGTTGTTGTAGTATTTTATATTGTGTTTGGTTGCATTTCGTTTTCTAGTATGAGGAGTATATTACCTACTAACCTAGTGTATATAATTTGATTAACAACACCAATATTATTTATACTAGATCCAACATGACTGACTTTATTGCAATAAAGTACTTTGATTCTTTAAATTTTTATTTACTATCGTGAACGGGTAAAAGCGGGGATAAAAATTACCCCGATTACCCGATAAAGAAATGAGAGAGTAGCGCGACCAAATATGGCCTCGGTAAAGCCGAAGGCTTCTAAGGACCAGAGCCTAGGGAGGACGAATGGTGCGCTCGGAACCGGACACGGCCAAACATTAGGCTCAAGCAGAGTGAAGAACCGAGGCTAAGGGATCGATGGTTAGACAAGGCAATCAAGGGGCCGAAATATCTGTCCTTAACTGGATATTACGGAGTAAATCTCGCCCGATATCAGCTGCATATCAATATTTACTGGAAGAAAAAGATTTTTACCTTACTTAGACTTGTGCTAGGATTGAAACTCCTTACTATATAAGGGAAGAAGTTTTATATTTTAAGGACCACTGTTGGCACGCATATCAAAGCAATAAAATTAATTTTTTTATTTAGCTATTGTTCAAAGTGTTCTTCAGCTGCTTGTTTATTGAGTTGCAATCGAGCCTGTTCCGAGGGCTGGATCAGAACTGATTTCCAAACGTCCATTGCAAAGCTAGATTTAATCATCCATTGCATTTAGTATGATCTCTTTGTTTTCCTTTAATTCAATTGGTTATTGTTCTTAGTTCATTCGTATTAAATTAAATCACATATCCTTTAAACTATGTATAAGTTCAATTGTTAGTCATTTTAAGGGTAAACAATTTAGTGCCCACAATGGGGCTAAAGATAATATGAGTGATTTAATAAGAATCTCCATAACATACCCTATTTTATACTTGCTCTTTGAAATTTGATTTTAGGTTAATCTAAAATGTCAAATTCTCAGTCTGATCACTTGAACGTTGACGCTGAGTCAGGCCACCATGATGAAAACAATAACGTGGTACCAAGCAATGACGTACCCCCTGCTGATCCTAATGGTGTCCCAATCACTGACTCGGTCGACGCTAACTCACAAGTTTCTATCAACATCAACTTCCCAATTGATCCCGAAAATAGCATTCGCGGGGCACCCCGGTCATCGGCTCGAAAAGTACCCAAGAGGAAGGTGATTGAGATAGCTTACGATTGATTTTTGAAATGGTACAAGCTCAGCAAGTGGAAATACCACAACTACAGACTCAAAATCACGCCCAGAATGCGACCGAACCCGAGCGGGTTAGAGAAGACGCTCGGAGAGACGAACGCATTATCGTAGAACTGGATGAGTTCGGGCCCAGAGAAACTTCCGAGGTGATGAAAATGCTTGACACGCTAACAAAGAAGTTGGAGGCCAGTGAAAAGAAGATAGAGGTAAATGACAAGAAGGTGAAAGCTTACAATTTGAGGGTCGATCAGATCCTGGGAGCGCCTCCCATATTGAAAGGGTCGAATTCCAAAAAGTTCATTCAGAAATCCTTCCCCCGAGTGCGGTACCGAAGCTAATTCCGAATGCCCGATATTCCCAAATATAACGGGACCATAGATCCAAACGAGCGCATAACCTCTTATACATGCACAATAAAAGTCAATGTCCTAGAAGACGACGAGTTCGAGTCGGTATTGTTGAAGAAATTTGGGGAAACCTTATCCAAAGGGGCAATGATATGGTACCATAACTTACCTCCAAATTCTATTGATTCATTTTCTATGCTTGCAGATGCCTTTGTTAAAGCCCATGTTGGCGCCATCAAGGTCGAGACGAGGAAATCGGACCTCTTCAAAGTCAAGAAAAGAGATAACGAGATGCTTAAGGAGTTCGTTTTGAGGTTCCACATGGAATGGATGGACCTGCCCCGGTCACAAATAATTGGGCCGTTCAGGCATTCACTCAAGGGCTCAACCCCCAAAGTTCCATTGCTTCTCAACAATTGAAGTAAAACTTGGTGGAGTACCCAACGGTTACTTGGGCCGATGTTCATAACAGGTATCAGTCAGAGATCAGAGTCGAGGATGACCAACCGGGGGCCTTCTCAAGGTCTATTTTTCCCAATAGAGAGAATGATAGATCTAAAAGAACTATGGACCAGGATCCAAGGTTGGTCCGAGATTGGTATCAGCTATACAACTCAGTACGGTGCAATAGATACGGGTTGAGTGCCCCACACCAAGTCAATATCAAAATCAATATCTATTATGCCCCATGTTTTTGTACGTGAAGGTATGTCATAAGTAAATTGATGAAAGCTCGGAAATGAGATGTTACATCCCGCATTTTTGTACGTTAAAGTTTTGTCGTAAGTTAATCGACGTAAGCTCGGGAATGAAATTATTTTGAGATTATAAGTATTACATTATTTCAAACAAGTGATAAGTAAATTCATGAAGGTGAGAGGGTAAGCGAATCAAAGAAAGTGAGTTCGTCGAAGTTTGTCAATTTGGGATAAAATACGGTCCGAGCTATAATACCTAATATTTATGGACTAGTACCATACAAGGTACCATATGACCATAGTAGTAATGTGTATAAAGTATGCTAAAAGTGAGTAGTATTTTAAGTAATTTGAGATAATTCTTAATTATGTGAGTAATTGGTTAATTATAGGTTAATGT